AATCAGCTGATTGCATCGACTCATTGACTCGACAGCTGTGATTGGTTTAATTGTGTTCTCGGTGTGTTTAGGCACCAGAAGGGTCACGTAAAAATGTATCCAATAGGGGAAACCATTGGGACAATATTTGGGCCCAGAAGAGTCACGGAAAAGGTAAACTGAGTGGGTGCAAAAAGAAAGTGCAATTTCAAAAAGGATTTGAAAATACAAATTGAAAATGGAATAAGGAATAACAATTTTAAATGTGTGATTAAGAAATGTGTCTATTAATCAGATGTATGAATTTGATATTTTATTCTTCATTTAGAAATGGGATTTGAAAATGTATTTCAAATTCCAGTATTAAATAACAGATTAGTAAATGCAATTTACTATTACTATTTCAAATTGCATAATTTAAATCTTAAATTTAACTCTTTAGGTCCTTCGTATATGTGGAGGATGTGAATGTGGCTAAGTGCTCTATGATAAGGACTGCTTGATATTAGTCTGTCAAAAGAACAAAAATGTTACAGTAAAACCCTGGATGACAAAGGGACTTAAAATTTGTAAAAAGAAAAATAAGTTATATAGAGATTTAGTTTCTGTTAGGAATCCAGTTTGTGTGGGTTATGTGTTGTTTGTGTTTTCTCCCTCCACCACCAGGTGGCGCCCGGTTCTTGTCAGCCCTTCCACACACCTGCGGATGGTTGGCTCATTATCTGAGGACTCTTAAGCTGCTGACTGCCACTACCTCGATGCCAGATTGTTTGCCAGTTTTGGGTACTCTAGCCAAGCTGAGTTTAGCAGAATCTAACTGAGTCTTTGTCTCCCTGAGCCCTAATCTTGTTGTTTTTGTCTTTGCCTCTTGGCAGGAAGTCATGCAAACTGGATGTTTTGGCCTTCTCCCCCTGGAGGGATCGTCTGAGCTTCACACTGAGCAGGGGATGCAAACTGGATGTTTGGACCTTCTTTCCCTGAAAGGATTGTTTGAGCTTCACACTGAGCAGGGGATAAATCTCCACACGTACTGATCAAGTACTTCAGGAAATTTAAGTGGCAGTCAGCTCCATCGCTCCTCAAGGAACCAACCAAACCCAAGTAAACCCTGTCCGCCCTCCAACGAGTCAACCAAATTCTGGAATAATCCACACCGACTGGATTCTGGGAAGGACACCTTTTTCTGGAAACGTGAGTCCCGTTTCAGTCTTTGTTTTTGCTAATATAGTTTAAAGTTGATAGAGAATAGTAAGATATATAAAAAACATGGATAATATTTACTAGTATTATAAGTCTACACCTATTGCCCTGGAAAATATAAGAAAGCTTTTACTAAAAAACATAAGATGGCAAATGAATAAAATTCCTTCTTTGTAAATGAAGGACCAGATCAGGACTTTTCCATTAACATTAAAACTGGTGGAAATGTGCAGTTCGGTGGTAGAGTACTCCAGACTTTACTTAGGAGTCAATCAGTCAACTCTAATCCAAACTTAATGACTACATTTGTTGTTACTTAGCAGAAACTGTCCATTCGATTAGGCTACATCATTCTATATTTTGCAGCTCTGCAATTACACATTTTATTTAATATATATTTTTTTTTTTATTTAAACATTTTATTCACTGATGTTAGAACTATGGGTCAGTACACCTGTAACTGGCATGCTGGAATGTGGTTTCACTGATTGCTATTTCGTCTAAAGAAAACAGTCAGTGACTACAGTATGTGAGATAAAGTTACTATTGAAACAACTAGAATGACACAAAATGGAAAAGAAACCAATGACCCAGGAAACACAGAATGACATAAATCAAAGTGTGACTGAAAACTGAAAAAGGAACCTAAACAGAACCAAAAAGTCCACAAATGGCAGAATCATGACACATAATGTGTTCGTATGTAAATGATGAAATTGTTCAATCAAGTCAAAAAAACTGATTGGTTGACTAGTTGATTGATTGATCATTCCAAGTTTAAATGTCAGCCTGTCCCACTGAAACATTGAGCTGTAAAGTTCAATCTCTAATGTTCTGCTCTCTCTGCTTTTCCTCAGAGTAGCTTTGCCTCGTCTGTTCCTGTTTGGCTGTGACGCCATCCTGGAGAGAAACATCAGCTGTGCTGCTTCCATCAACACCCTTGTTTATAGATGCTGGAGATCGGCCTGTTTTCCAGTGTAGTCCTGTTTCTCTGACCGTGACTGGCTGGATGTGCTCTCTTCGTCCTCTGGCATGGGAGCTGGCTCAGAGCTCGCCTGCCAGGCTGTGTGTTTTCTGGACGGGGCCGCCTTTTACAGCTGCTTTTTGTGTCTCTGCTTCTGTCTCCTTGAACCCCAGTCGGCCTCAGCAGATGGCCGCTCACACTGAGCCTGGTTCTGCTGGAGGTTTCTTCCTGTTAAAAGGGATTTTTCCTCTCCACTGTCGCTACAAGCATGCTTAGTGTGAGGGATTGTATTGGAGTCAATGAGTCAATGCAATCAACTGGTTTTCCTTAGATAGAAAACTTTGTATCAATTTGACTGTATGATCTGGTTGAACTGTAAAGTGCTTTGAGATGACATGTGTTGTGAATTTGGCGCTATATAAATAAACTGAATTTAATTGAATTGAATTAAAGTGATGCATCACCAGCTAAGACATATATTGGACATCCTTTGTTTTTGATCTGCATGTGAGCTTTTAAATGCCATATAAAAAGTTTTTCCACATAGATAAACCATCTCAAGCTATTCTGATCGTTAAATCCTGCAGCTGCTCAGCCATCATTCTCAGTTCTGTATGACGGCTCCTGTTAGTAAATCTCTAATTCAAACCTTTATTGTAGAGATCATTGAGGAGCGCAGATGTTTCCGACTGTAAGTTTCTGGTTTGCTGGCGGCGCCTAAGAAAACTCACTCTTTTTATCAATTTCATCAATTATTAATGGTTTAATATTTGCTAATAAACAGACTTGCTCCTGAGGTATACAATGAGTCTGATGAGATAAACTTTATCTGATCAGGTTTTATCTAGCAGATGCCGCTGTTCTAAAAATAAATTCATTTCAGTTGCAGCATAGACCTGAACAGTGTATTAGAGAACCTTTACTTTTCACCACATCGAGCTCCATGTGTGACCAGAATTACATCACTCACAACTAATACACCATTAGTAATGTTAAAATGAACAACTGGGACAGCAAGCTTTTATCAGAGGGCTCCAACTTTATTACCTTAAAAACTCTCTGCTGACAGACTGCAGCTGCAGCGTTTGGGACTGTAGAGCCAGATCATAAACAAAACCCAGTGTGTTCCTGAACTAAAGATCAGGACCAAGGACAGGGAAAATACAACAAGCTTTGTCCAAAGAAGAAATGTAAAAGATAAAGGCTCTGTTCGAAAACCTAGGACGTGTCCTCCAAGGACGCGGTCTACCTAGACTGTATCCTTCGAAGTCCTTGAAAATAAGGAGACCGGAAGAGTTTAGACTGTAAATTCGACCAGGTCTACCCTTCGGCGGGTTTTACCGCCGTATGCTCTGTTGCTTAGCAACCGTAAACATTGACACACAAAGCAGGAAAAGAATGAATACAGAAGTTTTCAAAACTGTTTATTTCTTTTTTATTGTGAAGTGAACAAAGACTACACTCACAAGAATCCAGAATGGAATAAATGTTCCAACCACCGGGAGCAGGAACCAATAAAATCAAATGTAATGATAAAACCTTAGTCAGTTAAATAACCTGCTGCTGTCATTCTGCACATCTCTGATGTTGCTGCTATTTTCGAATATCCATCACTGTAAAAATGTCCATAGCTGCATATTGGTTATTTATTCCCCAGTTTTATATTGTTAAAACACTTTACAGTATTGTATTGTTTATATTTTAACTGTTCCCTATTATGTTATTCTTATACATTTTTCTAAGGTCCACATTTGTGTGACCATTTTTAATAATCTTTCTGCTGCTGCAAATTTGCCCTTTTTGTGGGACAATAAAGGGATTTTCTATTCTGTTCTATAAAAGGGGTAGAAAGATATAAGTGAATCTAAACAATGTATTTATAAAAAATATATCTGCAAAATCTCTAATATTTAACAACAAAAAATACGTAGTTAAGTATATTGTGCAAAACAGCAATAAAAAGATAAAAATCCTATCAGATTTATAGTCCCCACCCTGCAGATATATTAGAATCTGTCCTTAAATTACAGCCAAACCCATTTACACAGTAACAGATTAAAACCTTTAGATAAACCAAACACTACCGCCACATATCTGACTCAATAACCATTAAAACAACTATTTTTCATTAATCTCAGACGGAACTATTAAATGACTTGTAATATATTAAACTGAACTTCCAATTTTCACCACTGTTTGGCGCCAAGTAACCTTTCCTCTGATCACAGCTTGCTTGGTCTCGCAATGAATCCTGGGATATCCAAGAATACCGAGGATACATCAGACCCGTCCTTCAAATCGGGCAAAAAGAAGGACGCATTTTAAGGCCGCATAACGAGGACTCTTGGAATCCGACCAGAGCTCGGCGCCGCGCTATGATGTAATCGGCCTTCGAATCCGGTCTTCTAAGGATGCGTCCTAGGTTTTCGAACAGAGCCAATATGTTCTTGCATTTTTTGCATCACCTGGTGATTGTCATCCTTGAAATTTAAAAGACCCCCCCCTGCTGGAAATCAACGTGCACTGAAAAACCAAGCAAATGCAACAGTGCCACACTTAAAGGTTCAAACATAATCTTCTGGAAAAGCTACAGAATGAGTCTGGAGTTAGACCATGTGGAAAGTTAATCACTTACATATACAACAAAAATACAAAATTAGTTAAAGATAAATAACAGCATAAAAAAATTATTTTGATTTGCAGAAGAATGCAACAAGCAGATCATCATCATCTTCATCATCGTCATCCTAATACATTTAATTAATGCTTGATTACGTCTCCTCCAGCGTGGCATTTCAAGCGTTCAGCATCATTATTTTAAGCTATGATCTGTTGAATTCAGATAAATCCTACGTACCATTTCAGCCATGAGATCCAGAGGAGAAACTCTCTCAGAAGGAGGAGGTCTACAGTTTCTTACGGCAGCTCCCTGGGAGGGGAGGAAGAAAACAGAAACGTCTGGTAAATGACCTCTCCATGTTGAAATATTAACATCTTGAATATTTCATCCTCCTCTTTGCAGAGAAAAATGAAGTACTAAAGAAAGAAAAAAGAAATCAGCTGCAGCTTCAGTGTTTTTCAAAACAGCTCAATCCTTAATCCGTAACACTTTCCCAGCACGTTTTTCCTTGCAAATTTTATTTGGAGTTATACAACATGTTAAACACAAAGAATCAGCATTAATCACATCAACCAATCCACCTACAATACCCCCCCAAAACACACAATCGCTTCTGTCCCACTGATACATAGTGAAGGGAAAGGTTCATCTAACAGCAGCTGTTTATTTTATGAGCCACAATAAAGAAAAAACCCATCAAACAGTTCATTATTCCAGGAGGAAGGTCAACAATTTCCTTAAATAACAATCAATGCTTATTATATTTCTGTTTCTCCAAAATAAAGGGAATACAGAGAAAGTCAGCTTTGTTTTTGCCCAGAATCAGAGTTAATACATAATGAACTGTACCGTTAGAACCTGTACAGTTAGAGAGAACAGGATTTAGCCGATGTTCAGCTGGACCTGATCAAACAGGGATGCTGCTGCTGCCTGCGCACGCTGTCAGATCTCTGAGCGCCGGTGGAGAGGAGGAGGAAACGAGGAGGAGGAGGAGGAGGAGGAGGAAGGGCCACAACAAACAGGCAAGAAGCTGAAGATCAAAGAAGTAATAAAAAAATCTGTCAGCTATTAGGGTTCATTTCTCCGGGCACAGCAGCAACATTGAGTGTTTCAGCATCTGGGATTCAGTAGAACGTCAAACATGGTGTAAAATGAGAGGAACAGGAAACAACATGCTGACAAACAAACTATTCATGATCCTTTCTGCTAACATTCATCTATAATGATCTGATTTCACATCTTAAAAAGCTTAACTTACTAAACTTCAGAGTTTTTCCATCAAACTTTAACCTGACAGTAGTGGGTGAAGCTGATCCATCTCTGAAAACCACCATTCTCTGCAATAAGCTGCAGATATTTACTCTCCATCAGCTCTGCACATCTTCAGACAGAAGGTTGTGTTTACTGTTCTTGGCAAAAGGGCTCAAAGTGAATCGGATTAGATGTGGAGCATCTGTGAAGAACATTTCATGTCCAGTAAGTTCAGTGAGAGAAAATCTAAGAGTGAGACGACAAGCAGACCTGGAGCTCCGTCATCAACTCACTCAGGAGGTCGGAGGAGTTAAATCTACAAACAACATCTTTTCTGCTGCTTTTCTGAATCTGCTTGGTTCTTGGTTTCCTTGTGGGCCACTGCCCTGTTTGGCTGGTTACTACACTGAACCAGATGGTCGCCCCCCACACCCCCCCCCCCCCCCCACACCCCCACCATTACTGATGCCCTTCTGCCTTAGAAAGACCCAACTGATTTACAGCTTGGCATTGATTGTTGCTGGAGTGCAGTTAGATTACTTTATACACTTTTACTGACATTTCTGTGTTTGCGCCAACATGCAGATGGATCTGATGAAATAACCAGTATGACTGCAAAATAAGCACCAACTGACTGGTTCAGGGAGTAAAAAACTTCCTTGAAAATTTGTAGTCCAGCCAAAAAAAAACAGCAGAAGTGTCTATGCTCTATATCAGACATGTTTGCTGAAATTTCAAGCAACAACTTATTGATAGATGGAAAAGTGTGTTTTGTTAAAGATATCCAATACTTCAGAGGTATTGATCCATTAGATATGTTTTCTTATTCAATTTGTCTTAAATAAGAAAGCAAGAAAAAAAAACTGTTCTGTTTTTTCACCTTGCTTTTAAAGACTTTATGCTGTCAGTTAAACACCTCTAAGAAACATGATTTGTTTTTATTTTGTGAAACTAAATGCAGAAAATAAAAAATAAGGAGAAAAGGCTTGGCTTCCTCTCCATGTGAATACAGTATGTTTGTCATGTTCAACAGGCAGGAAACTGACCTGCTTTGTATTTGTAAAATCAATGATAGATTAACAAAGTCAGACGTCATTTTTATCTTCGACGCCCCTCTGTGCGGCGTCCATGAAAACGGCATTTCTGCATGCACCTAGAAAAGTGTGGGTTTATAATTACAGACATCTAGAAACATGTTGGGATTTAGCTTATTAAGACCACCACTATCAACAGATTGTGGGAAAAAAAACTCTGGGAAAGAAATGACTGTCATTCTCCGACTTCACAAAGAGGCTTTGAAAGAGTTGTAATCTGCTGTTTTTTACTTTCTCATGTGGTGTGGTGCTGTCAGCTTGCTGTTTGTGCTGCACATGCTGCCCTGGAGCCTGACAGAACAGGGGAAAAGCATCACAGAGGATAAATACTGTAGCCGCTGTGACAGGCGGCTCATTTTATAGTGCGGATTGAACAACTGTCAGTCAAAACTAAATACTATGGGACACATCCAAACCCTGCGAACAGAACTGATCAAAAATGCTGTAGCTAAAGAGACAACATTCTGTTTTTTGAAGACCTTTTGGTTTTGTTTTTAGTAAAATAAAAACAAAAATATATATTTTAAATTTCAGGCTGAGTTGTTAATGTCAGCTGAAGAATTTTCCATTTTTTCCTTTAATGCTCCATTTAACGGTGGCGCTAAAACAACCCCACAGCATGATACTGCTGCCACCATGCAGACAGCTGGTGCTGTCTGCACTGGTGTCACTGTGGTCAAACAGCTTAAACAATGTCTGACCACCAAACCACTCGAGTAGAAGACATTTTGCTCATCCATCTGTTTAGGAGACATTTTAGAGCAGGCGATTAATTCCTGATCAGAATCCATTCATTCCTTGTTGAATGAAAAAGTTTCCACTTCTTGCCATTTTGAACCTTGGTGATCAAGTTGTTCTTAAACATCTAACCCAATTATTTTCCATGTCATCAGAAACTCTCTCTGCTTCCTTAATGCTTTAAAGGCCTCAGCAGAGTTATGAAAACTGTCAATAAATGTAAGTTAATAATGCAAATATTTTTTTTGTGTTTTGGTTGCTTGTAGTCAAATCCTAGAAACCTGACATCAGATGTTTCATCCATGAGAGTACAATTTTAAGTTTCCAATAAAAGTTTAAACTTTGCAAAACGACAAATGACAAATTCACAAACAGTACAAATCTCCAAAATTAGCTGCTAAAACTGCTAACATGTTGTTAATTGGCGCTATATGAACTGAATTGAAATTACCAAACGGTGGCTTTATTGCAACTGAAGGTTGTTAATCAACTGACAAAAAAAATAAAATGGAAGAGCATGAAAACCAAACTATCAATCGACCATTTTATATATATATATATATATATATATATATATATATATATATATATATATATATATATATATATATATTCCACCCAGGGCTGAGACTGAACAGTACTGGAGAAACATGGGAGAAGGAGGCATCCCACAACACCAATGCTCAGTGGCTGGAAAATCTAAGAACAGATCATAGCAATCTCCCAGAACAAGAACCAGTAACCGTTACAACGGCAGATGTCCAAGAAAGAGCGGCAGGTATGAAGAGCTGGACAGCACCAGGCCCTGACATGATCTACACCTACTGGCTGAAAAAACTAACCCCACTTCATGCACGCCTCGCAGCACAAATGAACCAACTGCTGATGGATGGGACCCACCCAGAATGGTTAACCCAAGGACGGACAATCCTGATCATGAAGGATCCGCAGAAGGGAACAACCCCATCCAACTACCGGCTAATAACTTCCCTATGTACAACATGGAAGCTCCTGTCAGGCATCATAGCGGCTAAGATGAATAGGCACATGGCTCAAAACATGCACCCTTCCCAGAAGGGAATAGGCAGCAACACCAGAGGAGCCAAACACCAGCTACTAGTGGATAGAGCAGTCACCCGAGACTGTAAGACCAGGCAGACAAATCTGTGCACTGCCTGGATTGACTATAAGAAACCCTATGACTCAATGCCACATACATGGATACTGGAATGCCTGGAAATGTACAAGATCAACAGGACTCTAATAGCCTTCATCAAGAACTCAATGAAGCTGTGGAAAACAAGTCTGGAAGCCAATGCAAAGCCAATAGCACAAGTCACCATCAAGTGCGGCATATACCAGGGTGATGCACTATCCCCGCTTCTGTTCTGCATAGGCCTGAACCCCCTCAGCCAGATCATCACAAAGACTGGCTATGGATACCAATTCCGAAGCGGAACAATCATCAGTCACCTCCTCTACATGGATGACATCAAGCTGTATGCCAGGAGTGAGCGAGACATCGACTCACTGATCCACACTACCAGGATCTACAGCAACGACATTGGGATGTCATTCGGACTGGACAAGTGCGGTCGCATGGTCTCAAAGAGAGGGAAGATGATCAGAACCGAGGGGGTTGAACTACCAGAAGGCCACATAACAGATGTTCAGGACAGCTACAAATACCTTGGGGTGCCACAGGCTAACGGAAACCATGAGGAGATGGCAAGAAAGACTGCCACAGCTAAATACCTACAAAGAGTAAGGCAGGTCCTGAAAAGTCAGCTGAATGGGAAAAACAAGATCCAAGCGATCAACACATATGCCCTACCAGTCATCAGATACCCCGCTGGTATAATAAACTGGCCAAAGGAGGAGATAGAGGCCACTGACATCAAGACGAGAAAGCTCCTCACAATGCATGGAGGGTTCCACCCCAAATCCAGCACTCTGAGACTGTACACCAAGCGTAGCGAGGGAGGCCGAGGGCTAGTGAGTGTCAAGACCACTGTCCAGGATGAAACAACTAAGATCCAGGAGTACATCAGAAAGATGGCCCCCAAAGACAAATGGCTTGGTGAGTACCTCAGGCAGGAGAAAACCGAAAGTGAGGACAAGAAAGAGGAAGGAGAACCATCATGGAGGGACAAGCCGCTGCACGGCGTATACCACAGACAAATAGAAGAACTGGCTGATATCAAAAAATCCTACCAGTGGCTGGAA